AGCCCCCCACTTCTGACCCCCCCGAGAGCCTGAGCCCCCGAGAACCCCCCACTTCCGATGAGCTCTGGTCATCTGAAGAAGTGGGTTGTGCCCATGAAAATTCATGATACCACCTACATGTTTTGTTAGTCTATAAAGTGCTACGAGACCATTTGCTTGCTGTTTTTTTTTTCTTATAACAGACTAACTCAGCTACCCCCTGATACTCCAGTGTAAAGCGTTTCAGTATACTTGTGTGCCCTTAACATGACCATGGTCTCCTTTTTCTAGGGAGGAACACAGAAACCATTCCTCTGGGTGTGCTTTTCTCTCCCTCCGTAAGAACCCTGATGACCTGACACTGCAGGAGTTCCTGAAACTGGACAAGGAACGCATGAGAAACATGATTGTATGTACAGCTCAGAATTGGGGTGTGTTTTAGATCTGCCATTCTGAAAGGCTAATGTAGTCTCCAATCTAAGGACCTGCTAAGTATCCGGAGCATAGAATTTTTCCTCTTGCCCAGGATACTCTTCTTCATTACTCTCCCCTCTGCTGTGTATTAAGCCAGCCAGCATGTCCCTTTGCAGTTCCCTGCCTTTGCCGGGGGTGGGGGGAGGTGGAGAGAGGGGATGCTGATCTGTAGTGCCCTGGTGTTTTCCACTAAGCTGAGCACAATGCTGCCTGTACTATGCTGATGGAATTTTATTTTTGCTCTTTTCAGAAAAATCAAATTTCTCAGAAAGTGACGGAGTTCAAGGAAGAATCCAAGCGTGTGCGTCGTGATATTGAGAAGCTGGTCTCTTAGGTCTCTGACTTGCATGTATGCAGTGTGTCTGACTTGTACATATGTTCTCTAGAGCTGTCTGTGCCTGCGTGGTGGTGGTAGTTCTGATCCCTTTCATGGAAGGTTCATGGAAGGATCAAAGGAATGTGTACTTATAAACAAAGGGGGGGATTTTTATAAATCACTTCAGGGATTTAGGATTGCAGCTACCATTGACTTGGAATGCTTCCGCTTGGCTTTCAATGAGGTTTGTGTTCCTAAATCTCTTAGATCTCCTTTGAAACTCTCACATTGACACGTCTAAAGGCAACTTAATCCCCAATGACTTACTGAACTGCTCAGATTGAGTATTGTATGGTGAAATGTAACACTCTCCTACAAGAATAGTTAACAATTCATTTTTTTACTTTAAAATGAGTTAAACATAGTAAATGCTGTTTTGGGGTACCACTGTGGAAGTGGTGAATAATCCATTTAAGATTTCCAACATCCTCCTAATCTAAAAGGCACAGTTACTGTCTTGGGCTCAATCCTGTCGTTTTTACAAGTATAAGATACTTTTTGATATCAAGATCACAAGTAGTCAGCCTCTTGCTTGATTCTAAGCCCTTGGAGTCAGGGTGTGTGTTTTGTATTTGAAGACTTAAAACAAAAAAAACACATCCAGCACATTGGATAAGAAAGCTACAATCAAGCTAGGGCCAGACTGATATTCTTGGGCTTGGTCAGTTTGTCCAGCATTCCCTGCCCGATCTTGCTAGCGAACATTGAAATTATTTCCTCATTCCCAGTCTTCAGTGCCAAGTCATATGCTGATAGCCCTTTTTCATTCTTCTTTTTAATGTTTGCATTGCAGCTGTAAATAAAGAATAAGTTTGTTCAACCTATTTTAGAAAAGGAAACTGTTTCAAATTACTAGAACCCAAAAGCAAATCACAGTGGGTCAGATTTAGATGCTTACTCATGCTGTAATGAGATCACATCAGAATCTAGCCCTTGAATCCTGTTGTACGTATATAGCAAGCTATTAAGTTAACAGAAGTTGACAGCATTCAGCTTCTTACGAGATGAAGCCCATACAGGTTACTGTCTCCTGTGTGATGCATTACACATAGCCCAGAGTGGTACTGGATGCCACAATAACAGAACTTACCCTAATAAGACACTGATGCATTTCTTTCCCTCTAATCCAAGCAAAGCTGCTTCATGCAGAGCTGTGTTGTTATGCCTGTATGGGAGGAAAATAAATTGAGTACCCCTTTTGGTTTTTTTTGGTTTTTTTTTTTAATGTCATGATTTTACTTGGAGGAATGTTTTATCTCTATTAATAGTCTGCTACCTAAAATGACATGGGAAAATCAGGGACCAACAAAGGTAGCCTCCAGTAAGGTGTGTCTCTTATCTCTCTTGATGGAGAGAAAATGGGGTATGAGAACATTGGGAGGGGAGAAGGAAAAATACCAGGGACAGGAAGATTGAGGGGAAGGCTTAAGAGGAGGATTGAGCTTTATAGAACTAAAATGAGCTAGTTTTCAAAGCTGGTCCATGAAAGAGGCAACAAAAAGCAAGACGAGGAGCGTGGTTTGTCTGTTGATTTAACTGGTGTAGATGTTTGGCTTTTAAAATGTGATTCACAGTTACTTTAACTATAGGTTTTAGTCCCTTTTGGTGAACTCTAAGCCTTGTTACCCTAACAACTAAGCTCTATAGAGGATTCTCATTAGGGACTGTTCACTTACGGTCCTGACTGCTGGTCGGTATCGGCACCTTTCTGCACGAGAACTGGAACCACTTCATCATGTCTGTTTAGGACAGCAACTGTTAAAGCAGGTCGGCCTTCACTGTTGGTGCAGTTGGGATCAGCTCCCTGGAACGTACAGAAAGACTAGCTCTGAAAAGTGATACGTTTCAACCTGCCTCCCTGATTTAATGCAGGGTGAACATCTCTGGCTGAATACTCTTAGGACTTGACTGATCCTGAACCTGGGAATGTACTGGACATAGGGAGGTCAAGGCTGGACTCCCTGCTGCCAGCTACTGGACTTCTACAGCGCTGGGCTCTGCTTTTTTCTGGTCTGGCAATGCTCCAGCCCACCAGTTTTTCCCCATGACTGCTCCAGCCCTGGCAAATGCAGGCTGTCACTGACCAAAGCCAGAGGAGAGAAGTCCAGATTAGAGATTCAACCCTTACAACAGATGTTGATGGGTAGTCAACTATACAATTAACTGATATGCCTAGGCTTATCAGTTAATCTTGTTGACTATACGCATCCCTCCCCGGGGCTACTTCTGTATCAGAGGCAGCAAGCTGGGGGGGAGGGCGGGAGCTGGCTTAAAAGCTGGTTTCCCCTGCACTGCTGTCTGTATTAGAGGTGGGTGGTGGGGGTGGTCCAAGGTCCCTGTGGACAGAGGCTGTCCTTTCTCCACAGAACTCAGACCTCCCGTGGACAAGGGCTGCGGAGGGGTAGGGTGGGGGTCTGAGCTTTGTGGCAGCCTCCCCTCCCCCTCCCTGGAGCAGTAGCCCCTGTCTGCAGGGAGCTCTGACCACCCCCTTCCCCTAGGCACAGGAGCTGTTGCCACCCTGTGATGCTACCTCAGCAGTCTGGGGTGGCCAAAGGCTCCCTGGGATTGGGGCCAGATTGCACTGGCTGCTGGCCCTGCCCCCAGTGACTACAGAATAGTCAAATAACTGATAAGAATTCATGCAATTACTTAACTATTCAATAACTCGATATCCAATATCCCTACTCTATAACTAACTTCCTTTTGTTGTCTCACACATTGGTCAGTCTCTAAAATCTACTTTAATATTCTGAAAGAGGGCTAGAAAACTAAACTTCTGGGCTATGTCTAGACTGGCATGATTTTCCGCAAATACTTTTAACGGAAAAGTTTTCCATTAAAAGCATTTGTGGAAAAGAGCATCTAGATTGGCACGGACGCTTTTCCGCAAAAGCACTTTTTGCGGAAGAGCATCTGTGCCAATCTAGACTCGCTTTTGTGCAAAAAAGCCCCGATCACCATTTTCGCGATCAGGGCTTTTTTGCGCAAAATAGTACTGTGCTGTCTACACTGGCCCTCTTACACAAATGATTTGCGCAAGAGGGCTTTTGCCCGAACGGGAGCAGCATAGTATTTCCGCAAGAAGCACTGATTTCTTACAGTAGGAAGTCAGTGCTTTTGCGGAAATTCAAGGGGTCAGTGTAGACAGCTGGCAAGTTTTTCCGGAAAAGCAGCTGATTTTCCGGAAAAACTGGCCAGTCTAGACACAGCCCTGCATTTTGAGGTTTTTCTCCTCATACTTGCACCTAGCACAAAACTTGAGCAAGCGTATGAGGGAGAGAGGGTTCAAGGCCTCTCCGCCCATTTGGAAGTGTGATGTTGCAGCTGCTTTATGGACACAACTGCAGGCAGAGATGGTGGGAGTCTTATGATGATGGATTTGGCCAATTGAGAATTCCCCAACCTGCTTTCACCTCAGAGCTCCTATTCTATTGTGCAGTATAATTATCACCAGGGCTCGCTGAGCCGCGGCAAGCCCCGCTCGCCAGCTGCACTGTCCGGCAATCTGCGCATGCGCAGATCACCCGAACCCAGCTCTTCCGGGTTGTAATCTACTCGCCATGAGCGAGTAGAGTACAGGCAGTCCCCGGGTTACGTACAAGATAGGGACTGTAGGTTTGTTCTTAAGTTGAATCTGTATGTAAGTCAGAACTGGCGTCAAGATTCACCCACTGTTGAAACTGATCAGCTTCAGCAGCGGCCGAATCTGGACGCCAGTTCCGACTTACATACAGATTCAACTTAAGAACAAACCTACAGTCCCTATCTTGTACGTAACCCGGGGACTGCCTGTAAGGAAAAGTCCTTCCCATAACACAAGAACCTAATCTTACCAAATGAAATGAATAGGCAGCAGGTTTTAAACAAACAAAGGATGTATTTCTTCACATAATGCACAATCACCTTGTGGAACTCCCTGCCAGAGGATATTGTGAAGGACAAGCCTTAAATGGTGTTAAAAAAGAACTAGATAAATTCATGGAAGATAGGTCCGACAATAGCTATTATCCAGAATGGAAAGGGATGGTGCCCCTAGCCTCTATTTGTCAGGGCTGAGAATGGGAGACAAGGGATAGATAATTAAATGATTAACTGTTCTGTTAATTTCCTCTGGGGCATTTGGCACTGGCCACTGTTGAAGACAGAATACTGTGCCATTCTCATGTTCAAAAAAACAAACAAAACCCCCCAAACTCTGCTTTTACTCCTGACAACTGACTTTCTTGAATGTTTAGAATTGTGTATCCATCCTCTGACAAAACCAATCTTCATGAGACAGAAAGCAGATAGCAGAAAAAATGAGACCACAGCCACCGGGCCTCAAGCGGCAGCAGCGGCGTGACACCAGCAAAGCCTCAGAAGCGCGGGAACCCGCCCGGTGCCTCTGGTCTGCTGGAGACGGTTTCCAGCAGACCAGGGGCACGGAGCAGCTTACGAACAGGGCTTTCTCGCCCCGGAGCTCGCAGGTAGCAATCTGCTACCTCGACCTCCGGGGCGAGAGAGCCCCGTTCGTAAGTGCGGATCCGACGTAAGTCGGGGACTGCCTGTACATAGATTGTCAAGCCCTGATTATCACTGTGCAGTTATGGTGTAGGGCCATCTAGATGAGGTATACAGCAGGGCACACTTGTGACAATTCTGCTAAGGATTTCACCCTAATCCAAAAGGTGGCTTCAACAACGGTTACTTTTTTCCTTACTACCGTGTAGGTGGTAGGACCACAGTGAATTTATATATTGTCATCTATTTTGGAAGAGAATAGCTTTTCTTTAAAAGTAGTGGCAGTAAGGCCCAGAGCCTGGAAATGAGGACTGGTCTACAGTACAAAGTTAGTCTTAACTACAGTGTTCACAACTGGGAAAAGTGTCATGTCCCATAGGAGGTCATTAAGTTGCCCTAAGCCCCACTATAATACTAGTAGGACGATGGTGAATTCGTCTGACTTAGCTACTGCATCATAGACAGGTGGACTGAGAACCCTAACAGAAGAACCCCTTTCCGTCACTGCAGTAATTGTCTATGGTACAGTAACAGCTGCTGTAGTGCCACTGTAGCATTTCTAGTGTAGAGGTTCTTTTAAGCCCCTAATTTCCATTGAAATCAGTGGAAGTTAGGATCCTAAATACCTTGGAGTAGAAGCCTAGAAGTTCTGCAGTGATCTGACTTTGGGCCAGTTTGTTGGGTTATGTTTATTAGTTTTCTTAATAAAAATCAAGACAGGACTAGGGCTGTTAAAAATTTGTTTATTCAAGTATACATGTAACTGCTGAAAAATCTGGCTTGTAAATGTGTAATGGCTGGGGACTCTGGCCGCTGCTGCCTCTGACACAGGCAACAGCATGGGAATGGGAGCAGGCAGGCAGCACCACAGGAACCAGTATTCACCGGGAACTGGCTTAAAAGCTGTGTGCCCACAGGAGCGGCCCAAGGCTGGCTGTGGCAGCTGGTGCCCCAGGTGGAAGGCGCAATCAGTGCCCCCACCTGCACAGCCATCAATGGCCATGATGTAATCACGGGGCGCCCCGTGATGTCATCATCGGGCGCCCGCGCCGGCAGCGCCCTAGGCAACTGCCTAGTTTGTCTAGGCTCACGGGCCGCCCCTGTGTACCAACTCCCATCTCTTCCCCAGCTCCACCTCACATGGCTGCCTCTGTGCGGTGGGTGGGGCCTGTATGTAACTATGCACAGTAACCAATGAGCTTCTCCTCATTGATTAACTGTGGACACAGTTATACGTAGACATCCCTAGACAGAACTAAAGTTCATTAAGTAAATGGACAATGTGCCTGGATATGTCTCACAACCTTGCACTAGAAATTATTTTATCCTTAAACTTACTTCATCAAGCAGTTGTTCTACCAATGAAATTCTTCCTTCCCCCTCTGGACCCACTTCTTTCAGTAACTGTCTGGACTCTGGCTGTGAAAATACAGAGTAGAAATATGATTAGAGGGGACTCCTGCCGGGATAGTAGTGCAAAGGTAACAGAATTAGGTCTTGTATGTGTTATGTATTTGAACCTCGCTAATCACACTTTCTACAAAAAGTTTCCTATAACTTCTGAGCAAGTGTTCAGCAGCAGTGTGCTATCGTCTGTTGTCATGTTACTAAGCTCCCAATCCTGTATACACTTATGCATGTGCTTAACATTACTACCATAAGTAGCCCCATTGACCGAAATAAATAGCAAGGGATAAGCATGTGCATATCTTTGACAAGTCAGGGCTAATGATTTCCTGCTTTTACAAAATATGCTGCATAATATTTATTATTTAGGGTACAATGAAGTTTCATCAAATTAAACTCCAATTGTCAAAGCACATTAAGAAAATATATTTTGATGTGCTAGCCTTGCTTTTTAATTGTTCATGTAATTTAATTGTTCAGACTCCAGCACCCAGCACAAGACTCTAGATACAGGGATAGAGAGAGATGGGCAATCCCACTAGGTCTTGGAGTTTCTCCAGGACATGCAAATTCAAGCCAATGGCTGGATTAATCTATAGAAGGCATTTCAACCCATAGTTCCGTAACTCCATGGCTCAGTAGCTTTTGGCTGAGCCTGGAGTACGTGCTAAGACGGGTTCGCAAACTATGGCTGATAGCTTCAAAGGGATAGCGGAGTTAGTCTGTAACAGGAAAACCTTAAAAAACAATGAATAGTCCTGCAGCACCTTTCATGGGCACAACCTACTTCTTCAGATGAAGTGGCCAATATGCCACATCTGGCTCGCAGATCCATTTTGACTGGCCCAGTGAGTCCAATGGCATTACAATTATGTGCAGCCTGTCAGGTTAATCCACTGGCAGGCTGCAGGGATGGGGAAATGTGTACACTGCGGGCTGCTGGGGGCTGTGCGTGTGGATGCTCAAGGACACAGTACTGGTGAGAATGAGTGGTCTTGAGTTTTGGACTTGGTGTGCTGCACAGAGGCTCAAAAATGGGGCATGTGCAAGCCATGTTTCCTTTTTGGCTAATACGTTTAATAGAATTCCAACTTTAAGACTCACAAGCATCTTAATATAACTTTTAACCACTGGGCCACTTGCCTTTCAGGATATATTGCTCCTGGTACACAAACTATTCTCTGTCCTGTTCTACATGCCATTCCCAAAAAGGAACTTAATCAAAACAACTATGTACACACGTCCACAGAAAGCACACTCCAGGACTTGATACAGCAAAGACAAAACTGTACGAGGGGCTTTTCCTTCTCCATCCTCTTTGCCCACACCCCATGCTACTCAGTACCTTATCTTCCCTCTCCATTGCCCCTTCTCCTTACTTTCCCACCCTACCGCATCTCTTCCTTCCCTCTTGCTTTTCCCTGAGCTCCTACCTGCTTCACTGTACACACTCCTAAGATAAAACGGCTCTCACACTTACCAACTTTCTCTCACTCTCTGCAGTCGTGTCTGTTAACTATAAGCTCTTAAACCTTTAGATTTATGTTCAAAATGTATATAATTTTCTATAACAGACCCGTGCCAACTTACCATCAGAACAAGACTAAGTGATGTGGCCCTGGTAGCTGAAAGTTTGGGGACCCCTGTGATAAGCCCAAGAGAGACTATGAAATCGCAGCGAGTAAGGGAAGTACTTAGCAAGCAAAACCCGTACATTGGCCTGGGCATATTGCCACACCAAGGTTCTTATGAAGTAGGATTTGCAGAAAGGAGGTCTTTTATTTGGGGTGGAATTTGCATGGAAGTGTTTTTATTTTGGCACTGAAAATCAGTTATCTGATTTGTTTGTTTGTGTATTTTTAAATGCTATGAAAATCCAAGTACTCATATTTCTTACACTGCAACTTGGCCACTCCTTCTCTTGTGCCCACTGGATAAATGATGCAACCACAGGCACAAAGCAACTTGGCTTTGAAGTTTTCCATAATACATTTTCTGTAGGATTAGCCCTCCCAATTGCTAACAGTCACAGAGATTTTGCACCTAACTCTGTTCCAAGTGAAGTTCTACCATTCACTTCAAAGGGAGAAGAATGGGTCCAAAATATTTCAGGTAAGCTACTTACATGATGTCCAGACTGATGCTTTGGTTAAAGGAGAAAAGCTATCTAGTTTTAAAAAAACTTATTCAGAGAATGGGGGAAATTTGGTTCAATCCAGCCTCTGCACAAATATATACAGGCCAACCAACCATTCCTACTTAGGAAAGAGTCATTTTTTAAAAACCAAATTTGACTATTTTCCATCTTCCCCTTCCAAAATGTTCCTGTAGACACCTAGACCTGTTGTTTCCAGACTTTTTTTCTCACTACCTACAGTTGAAGAAAACTGTTTCACTTAATGTGACTGGTAGGCTGCAGGGGAAGGCCAGGGATGAGGGGTTCAGGAGGGCTGCAGGGCTGGGCCAGATGGTTGGGATGCTGAAGGGCTGAGGGCTCTTGGATGGTGCCAGAGATGAGGCATTTGGGGTGCAGGTAGGCTTACGTTAAGACAAGCTTAAAGGGCCAGAGGACACCCTCCAATCCTCTCCCTGCCAGCAGCAGGTAGTTCTGGGGGATGAGGCCCTTCTCTCCTCTCCCCCTCCGTGAGCAAGCAGCACAGAGGTCCGGAGGAAAGGGGCCTCTCACCTCACTGGTAGCAGCAAGCTCCGGGACCAGGGGAGAGGCCCGCAGCAGCCACATACAAGCCCCAACTTGCTCCCCTTCCCAGTTTCTGCCCACCCTCTATCTCTCTCTTCTCCAGCTCCCTGCTGCCCTGCTATGTGGCCCTTTAGAGCTGCTGTGTGCCAACAATGGTTACAATTTTTGAATCGGCAAGGCAACCCAATGCTTGACATTCAGCTATTCAGTACTGGGTTGTGACCTGTACTTTGAAAACCACTGACCTAGACCACTGCATTTCAAAGATGTTTAAAAAAAAAACAGCCTCCTTTTTCCATTGGATGTCTATTAGCATTAGCACTTAGGCAGTCCTCAAATCTTTCCAACACTCAGATTATAGCATGTACGTACAGATAGCTTATCTTCTTTTTCTAGAAATTTCCTTGTCTTCTTTGTTCTTTTTACTTTTTCTCTGGAACTTGAGATGTTGTGACCCTCTTCACACTCTAAAATGGGAGAATCCAGAGTTAAAACTAAAACTGATACCAGTGGTGCAACAAGAACTCAGGAGCCATAGGCAGTACATACATCCGTACATTGCTGTGGTAGTGTGAAATCAACCCTTATCTACAGAGCCAGCATGAAGCCTAAACCCCATTTATGTGGCCCCTTGTGCATTTGCACTTGGATTTGAATAGCAATGAAAACAGGGCAACTCCACATATCATGCCAAATCTCAGATGAACTGGTTTACAACAGTACTAATAAGGGAAACTGACAGGAATGTATGAATGCCATATTGTAACCATATTGGTCACAGAGAGACAAGGTGGGTGAGGTAATTATTTTTATTAGACCAGTTTTGAAGATGAGGGAGATGAGCTTCCGAGTTTACACCAAGCTCTCCTTCAGGTGCAAACTTGAAAGCTTGTGTCTCTTACCAACAGAACCTGGTCCAGTAAAAACTAATTACCTCACGCACGGCTCTAGGTTTGTATGAAAGCATTCAGAAATAAATAAGGCACCATGGTAATTAACATGCATGTGCCCCTTGCCCCTATGAGACTAGTGTTGATCTTACATGCCAATGGCTAGTGTAGCAAAAAGCTCAGGTGAAGGATCTAAGTCCCAGTATGGGCTCCATAAAGCTCCCACCGAACCTTGTATGCACCTAAACTTGCCTGACACCTATGTTTCACCCCGTGGGCATGCACACTGCTGCCTAGTGACAGGCATACGGACTCCCATCTCCCCACTTAGGGGGATTCACAAGATAGATGTACGGATGACACCTAAGCTGCATGCAGGGCCCGATACAGTAGGCCTACAGCTCCCCTCTGAATCAGGTCCCATTCAAAGACCAGGGTGAGTAAGAGTCTTGCCTGCCTTGTAACTTTTAGTCCAGTGGTCTGTAACTTTAAAAACAATGAGTAGTCCTGTGGCACCACAGAGACTAACACACACACACATATATATATATATAGGATCATGAGCTTTTGTGGGCAAAACCCACTTCTGCCTGGGATGGGGGAAGAGGATTTGAACAAAGATATCCCACCTTTCAGGAGTATCTGCTAACCAATGAGCTGTGGCTATTTGGAAGGGGACAGGGTCCCTTCAGTCTCTCTTGCTGAAGCTCTTTCTCCCAGGAATACAGTGGCTGGACCGTGTGTAACTCACCACCCAGGTCAATGCCGAAACCATTGGACTTCAGAGTCATTCCCTCTATGGTCCAGTGGCTATTTAAGTATTTATCCTCAGTGGAATAGCATCAACGTGAGAACTCAGTGGCTAGTGTGCTCCTAGGGAATGGGGGTGGGGATTGAAGCTGGGTCTCCCACATCCCATGCAAGTGCTCTAACCATTGAAATACAAGTTATATGAAGGTTGCCAGTGGCACCAGTTCCTTCTCTAGCCATTTTGTATGGAGTGAGGTAGGCCCATCTCATCTCCTCAAGAAACACCTCAGGAGCCTAAGGCACTCCAGGACAGAGGTTTCCAGTAGAGACAGGCGCTTCTCTGCAACCCGCACTTAGATGCCTACTTCTGTGAAAGAGAAAAGTTTATCAAAGCCCCCTTGTAGGCATCTCCCATTGGCTAAATTTAGAAGGCCCCCTGCCTAGCATGCTGGTTTTTGTGGATAGCATTTTAAGGCACCCATCTTTCCCCATTCATTGCATAGGGAGCCTAGGCACCTAACTAGGTGCGTAGATCCCTTTGGGTACGTCTACACTAGCCCCCTAGATCGATCTCGGGAGGCTAATGAGGGCGACCAGAATTGCAAATCAAGCCCAGGATTTAAACATCCCGCACTTGATTTGCATGTTCCCGGCCGGTCGCCATTTTAGAAATTGACTAGCCCGAAGTAACTGCCTGTGTCTACACGCAGCAGTGAAACAGGATTCCAGAATAAAGCCCTAAATCGAATTAGGTGATATTCCTCGTGGAATGAGGTTTAGAGGGCTGCAGCCATAGAGCCTCATGGCTCCCATTGGCTCTGGTTTGTCGTTTGCAGCCAAGGGGAGCCATGGGAAGCAGTGGCCCAACCCACACCACTCGAATGGCTGCAGAGCCGATAAATAAACAAATGGGAGCGAGTGGCCAGTTAGCAGGTTTCTTAGAGACCACTTTGAGAAACACTGGCCTAAGAATTAGGCACCACGATGTTCAGCATTACAAAGCTTAAGTCTCTCTTAAGTTCCTATCTTTAAATCCTGCTTACACCGTAATTAGAGGTTTCAGATGTTGCATGCTGTCTTTACATGGGTACCTTTCCCTGTTTGAGCATCTAACAAGTTATTTACAGGAGACATATACCTATTCTTGAGTGCTGTAGTTAGATCACATTGGAAAGACATTGGAAAACTCACCCAAACTAGCCTGACTATCATACAGTCCATCTCTGCCTTCTGCCACAGTGCTCAGATAATCATCGTCAGAGGTCATTGGCTTACCAATGAGAATATCCTGGGGAATACATAACGTGGATATTTAATCAGATTCTCACATAATTCTGTAATATCCTCAGTGGCATAAAATGGGAAGAAGTTCTATCTATACTAAGATAAACAGCTATTTAATGTCATCAGTCTTTGTTAATACTATTTCAAAACAGAGAATGGAAACAGGTTGTTAAAGCATGATGACATCCCTCAGCACTTGTTTTGATGCAAAAACTTTACCATCACTTCAATATTATGAAATGAAGACAGACCAAGGAAAATCATTATATATTGATTGGTTAAGAGAATCTCCAAACCTATCGCTTGTCAAATGAGATACTGCGATAAGAAGCTAATTGTTTTCCATCAAGGTGCCATGTAAAACAAATACTCTCTGAGTTGAACTGGGTAAACAAGGTACCATTGCAGATATATGCAGAGCAGAATTAGCAAATGTTCCAACATGTGCTGCCTCTCAATTGTAAGACAACTAGTTGCAATTTGGGAATTAGAAAGACTTGAGAGCAGGAGGAAAGTGGTATTAAAGCTATTCAAAATCTTCTCAGCTGAAAGAAGAAAGTTTAATATTAATAGCTTACTCCATAAGATGCCTTGGTAATGAATTCAAGATGGAGCATCCTGACCATCTTGTTTGATCAAGAGGGATTCTTGTTAATGTGCTCAAACAGAAAAATAAAAGACTTTCATGTTAGACAAGAATAACATCCTCACAGCCAAACAAATTCTGGAATACGGTTGCAGATACATATTCCTACTGAGCTGTCAACCATTGGTGCAATAGATCAACTTCTCAAAAGACTAGCCTAATCCCCTAAACTAACCTTGTTTATGGCAAGAATATAATTTAATCTGAGACTGACTTCATAACCATCCTCATGGACTGTTGCAGAAATAATCTGTTAGGGAAAAAAAGCACAAATTAGCATCTCTTCTTATAAAAGTACAGGAAGAGAGTTTCAGTAATGCTAAGTAGTACTGCTAGGGGCTGAAAACATTTATCAACTGAACCAAAACATACATATATAAAAAATACAGTAATAATAATAATAACAGTTAATTCACATTTTGCCTCTTTATAGCACGGTACGCACATTAACTAATCATTTTGCCATTTAGACTGAATGAAGAGCTAAACATTTACAAGAAGTGATATTTTGAGGTGAGCAGAGAAACCTGAATTATTGAAAATGTCAAATGTCTAAACATGATATTAATGATTCCTTATATACTCTCATCCCAAAACATTTTACAGGCCATGAAAGGGATGCACACCTAGGGCTGCAGAGGGATAGCATTTACACACACATACCCTGCACCCACAGGGGCAGCTACATGTGAACACTTTGGTGCACAGTGTTCCATGAACATATTAGATGCAACTGATATGATAAATAGAGATGCTTTGCCATGAGGGAGGCCTGGTGCTAAGTAAGCATCTGTCAGCTGATCTGGCCCACCTCCCATTCACTTCTGGATCTGCACCACTTGGCTATAAAGCCCCAGTTGTGCAGGAGTTATGGGCAGCTTTTGCCACTCTGCTCCAGAAAGACTTATCATCAGTGGACAATTGCTCCTTGGGTTATGCCAGTTCGTACCAGTACATAAGCAGAGTGAAGTACATACAACACTAATTTCACCCACTACTAAATGCAGCCTGTTGTGGGGAGGAAGCATGGACCCCATTCTCTGGCAACCAAACCATCTAACACTGTATGAAAGTGATTTCAAGAGGGAAAGTGATGTTATTTATAACATTGAAACTGCAGGGAATTTTAGACCAGTGGCAGATAGCTGGCTAGTTTCTGAAAGCTGATGAAATTACGATGCACACTGGCATCACTGCCGAGGCTGAGAACTTTGATTTATTTATTTTATTTATCCTGCATGAAACATGAAAAAGCGTTAAGAAAGACCAGACATTGGCATTTGTCTTGAGCCATCACTGCTACTTTTCTTGGCAGAGGTTTCATTATAGTAGGATAATAAGAGGCCTAGAAACAGCATGAATATCCCTCTAGAAGATATTTTCC